AAAACCCCTGTATTTTGTATGGGCGGGAAAAAGTTGTCCCAGTGCTTGGCACGCCAAGATGTGCCAAGATGCAGCATGAAATTACATTTGATTGGTTACATGCCATGACTAAGCTCACGGATAGCTCGGGGCAGGTCATTCCGCGCTAAGCAATTATTATGTCATCAATTCAAGCAGGGGTACATAGCGGCCTGGTTACCGTGGTTACCGTGGTTACCTAGTATGAGAAAAAATCTGAATCACCGAGTGTCACTCGGCACCGGTTTTATCCCTGTCGCATCCCTGTCATGGCGACCAAAAGTTGTCCCATTTTGGCCCCACCGGTCGGTTTATGGTGTCATCCACCATATTTATTAAAGCGACGCAGCATCATAGGATGCCTGTGACCGCGCGCGAGCCCAAGCTACATCCACAGATTCCACTCCCGAGGCCCGAAGTTGATGTCAATGTTTCCACAGCACAGCGGCTATGAAGCCATCGCCATCCCAAGTTCCAAGAGATCTCCCCGGATACCGAACAGTGCATCTAGTCCATAAAAGCTTATTTGGCTCGCGCGGGGGGGATCCGGAAAGCTAGCGCGCTGCCATTAGTTTAGTGCGATGAGCCTTGAGGACCGAGGTGAGCCTGGTGAGGGGTATTAGCGTGTTTCTGTGCAACGGCGCCCGAGTTCAAGCTCATCATTTCTCCAAACACCGCAAGAGATACACACACACACAACTCCACTCAATTTCGCCCCCACTATAAACACGCAAAATGCTCCTGGAAGGGAAGCCAGGAACAAAGAAGATCCCCGGTTATGATGATGCCAAGCGATTGTGCCTTAAATACGCGCATCCTTTCATCCGTGCTTCCACCAGCGGGCGTGTATTGATTAACCGAGAACAAGCGATGAACCGGGGTTCACTTCAATTGCAACGTCCTCCGAGTTTCCCGCGCGTTTGGATCACTTAACAGATGCCATACATACGCGTATCACACCACACGCGTATCGCACCATCGCGCGTGCCATTCTCGGCCGGGAGACTAGAGTTACATACCCGTCAACGGTCGAGCTTGATTGTATGGCACCACATTAGCGGGATCGGGTACAGTCGTAGCGCGAAGCCAGCGGGGAGAACTATCCGGCGACTAAAGCTCGAGCTCAAGCTCGCGACGGAGCTTGAATTCACTGTTCTATGGGGTGGTGGTATGTTAAGATTCGTTTTTTGACTGCTTCAAAGGATTACAATAACGCGCACACGATGAGATGAATACTAGGGATTGGAAACATTTTGTTATTATCATTCGTCCAGATTCAACTGGATGCAACGTCAGGAAATCCGCGACGAGGTTGAGATGTCAAGTTGATGAGCTTGGTGACGATCCCAGACCCGCATAAGAACCGTATCCCAAAGAGGAAATTGCGATGCACAAACGAGGCCTCCCGATGCTTCCCCGACGGACGACTGTATCGCGATACAGTACCCACAACAAGTATCACGGTGAATTGTATACGCCTCGACGACAGGCATCCGGATGATCCGGGTGAGATATTCACTCGAGCTCGAGCTGGATGCCGGTGGGAGTGGATTCGTATGAGGAATTTGAGGGACTTTGTGCAAAATCGGAGTCAAGAATTATACGTTATAAGTAGGGAAGATATCCTCCTCGTCAATTCTTTTTTTTTTCATCATCCTCATCCTCATCACTTCTCTACAACTACTCAAACAAACAATCTTCCTTCAGTGAGTTTTTCCATTCTCATTCTCACAGCTCGTTGCACCTATTGGTGTTTTTGAGTTTTCAGCAGCTCTGATTTTGGAATAATCACTAACACCTTTTTATTAGATCCAACATTCAAAATGGTCAAGGTTCTTGCAGTCCTCTACGACGGCCGTGAGCACGCCAAGCAGGTTCCCGGTCTTCTCGGAACCACCGAGAACGAGCTCGGTATCCGCCAGTGGCTCGAGTCTCAGGGACACACTCTCGTCACCACCTCCGACAAGGATGGTGAGAACTCCGTTTTCGACCGTGAGCTCGAGGATGCCGAGATCATCATCACCACTCCGTGAGTAGTCCTATTACATCTTATTGCATTTGTAAATTGCTAACATATCATAGCTTCCACCCTGGATACCTCACCGCTGAGCGTCTTGCCCGCGCCAAGAAGTTGAAGCTCGCCGTCACCGCCGGTATCGGTTCCGACCACGTCGACCTCAACGCCGCCAACAAGACCAACGGCGGTGTCACCGTTGCCGAAGTCACCGGTTCCAACGTCGTTTCCGTTGCTGAGCATGTCATCCTCACCATCCTCGCCCTTGTCCGCAACTTCGTTCCCGCTCACGAGCAGGTCATGGCCGGTGACTGGGACGTCGCTGCCGTTGCCAAGGACTCCTACGACCTTGAGGGCAAGGTTGTCGGAACCGTTGCCGTTGGACGTATTGGAGAGCGTGTTCTCCGCCGTCTTAAGGCCTTCGACTGCAAGGAGCTCCTCTACTACGACTACCAGCCCCTTGCCCCCGCCGTTGAGGCCGAGATCGGATGTCGCCGTGTTGACAAGCTCGAGGACATGCTCGCCCAGTGTGACGTTGTCACCATCAACTGCCCTCTCCACGAGTCCACCTACGGACTTTTCAACAAGGACCTTATCTCCAAGATGAAGAAGGGATCCTGGTTGATCAACACTGCCCGTGGTGCTATCGTCGTCAAGGAGGACGTTGCCGAAGCCCTCAAGACTGGTCAGCTCCGTGGATACGGAGGAGATGTCTGGTTCCCCCAGCCCGCTCCCCAGGACCACTGCCTCCGCTACGCTCGCAACATCTACGGAGGTGGAAACGCCATGGTTCCTCACATGTCCGGAACCACCATCGACGCCCAGAAGCGTTACGCCGATGGAACCAAGGCTATCATCGACTCTTACCTCTCTGGACGTCACGACTACCGTGCTCAGGATCTCATCGTCTACGCTGGTGACTGGGCTACCAAGTCTTACGGTATCCGTAAGTAAATGGTTGCAAGAGAGGATTGTATATAAGTTTACTGCTGCTTTGATGTTATGGTCATGATTTATCTTCAAGGGCGTTTTTCTTTTGTGAAGTTTGGACTGTATATAGTTGTATATAAATGCTTGAATAGAGAGTTTGAGCTGTTTTAAATTTGCGCTTGTGATCTGAGAATGATTCCTTTCGGATAAATACTCCGGTTGTGGTATGATAGTAACTTGTACACAATGACTGCTCATCTCACTGATCTCAATAAATACACCAGATTTTAAAAAGGGAAAGATAAAGTGTGAAAGTAATAGTAATAGCAATGAGAGCCGGAAAGGAAGATGATTCCTCGAGGCTCAAGATAATGATTGCTGATTCAAATCGTGGCTCCTACAGTAGTTTGACAGTCACCTCTCTTGAACCGACGATTCCAAGATGAGAAATCACGAAGAAAATCGCAGGAAATCGAAGGAAACAAAGGCTAATCATGTATCGATCTAAGCACCAAGGAGCGTATTCTCCCACGCTGAACTTCTTAATTCATATACTCAACATAAGCTCCTCTTCTTTCTTTCTTTTTCCTTATTTCCCCTCATTTCCCCTCATTCCTTCGCCCGTCTTGCATCTTTCCTCTCCTCATGTCTTTTCTTTCCCAGTAAAGTTTGCCTTGTTTCGACTCTTCTATTTTGACAACTGTCATGACATGTCACTCGACACGCTGAGACAGCTCTTAGCCCCACTCCCCCCCCTAGCCCTGCCTGACCATCCCTGGCTCGCCTTTATGGTACAGAATGAAACAGCTGGGTCTGATTATGGATTCAATGGAACCCGAGTGCACTGAGTGCAGGTGGGAGGGAAAGATTTAGATGATATATCGGGGGTTAGAGTAATATACTATGATACTATCCAGACTTGGAACTCTGTCTCTCTGGTATATGTTCAATACCCTGGAAACTAGCGCGGAGTTTAAGACTTCGGGCTGCTGTGCTATGCTTGGTTCAGAGGGGTTTTGGATAGTGGGATTTTAATGGTTGGTGAATGGAGCTGAGCAAGATATGGGTGTGGAAAAACTTGTTTGCTCTTGAATGATGATCTGGTATATTTGATAGTTAAGAACATGGGTATACATCTATATAAAGTATAATCTTGTGATATCCGAAAGAAATATTCGCCGAAACTACCGAGCGCTGGTGATAAACTCAACCGAGTGGGACTTCATGATGCGTCAAAGATCGCGGCGGGGTAACGTGATGATTTTCCGTAGATATCACTTCCGATGTTGTGGATAATAACGGCAACGTGATCAACAATTGAGTATTACTAGCGTACAACGGTCTTGAAGCCTACCGCCCAATTGACTTGCATGTACTATCATCTTTGATAAATCATGAATCATGGCAGAAATTTCCGTCCCGAAAAACCGCACACCCTCAAAGCAGCATCAGCATCCCTTTCGTCAAGCCGATGAGTCTCAACACATCCATACGATAACACCAATCCTATCAGCCTTAAAGATATCTTCCTATCCCTCTATCCCCCTATTCCCCTATCCCCCTATTCCCCTATCCCCCTATCCCCCTACTCAAGAACTAAATCTCCATTATTTCCAAAACAATGCAACAGTTCGTCATAATGCAATCACTCGATTTTGTGATTTTGTGACATTGGATTTTAATTTTTTTGTTAGTTTTTTTGCAGGATGCAGCCACAGGGTCGGAGTTCTTCAGGAAATGATGATTGGGTATTGTGGCGTTTGAAGGTTGGGGGTTGTAAATAAACGTGTGCAATATGGGTATTGGGGTTATTGCTGACAGAGTGTGTATGTATGTGAAAGAAGTCATTTCGAATCGTCCCCCCCCCCCCCCCCCCCCTCTTTACCTATTGATTCATTTGTTGATTTCTATTAATACTACACTACTCTCCGTGCCTCTGGATAAAACGTACGAAAAAAAAAAACATCAAACTCATGCTGTGGTGGTGCTCCAGTGTCAGCTTCTGGTGACCGAAACTACCCCCAGCAAAAAAAAACAAAGGTCGTACCCGGGATCGAACCGGGATTACCGGAATCAAAATCCGATGTGCTAGCCATTACACTATACAACCATATCGGATGACAGTTGGGGTAATTTACCAGCCCTGACTAAAACGTCAAGAGTGATGGCGTGTGATGGTGATGGTGGAGACGAAGGTGTGTCTTTGGACGTGATTATAGCAAGCATGTACGGACATAGTTTAGCTGGCAACCTGCTTCCATTGTAATCGACGAAATTTTGTGATACAGCACTTCGGAATAATGGTGAAGGTTATACACGATGTTTTGGAATTGATGAATTCTGATGCACTTAGCACTAGGGATTTTGATAAGATCTCTTCTATCCGGATTGCCTGGTTTTCTAGTTTTTCCGTTTGCTACCCAGAATTCATCAGGTTAGGCAATGTTGGAGTTCAGGACTGTGGTTGACGGAACTTCGATACTTAGAGCAAGTTGGCAAGGTGTTATAATATCACAGGCAGGTTGATAGGTGGTGATGAGAGATGGGAATGAAAAGAGGGAGTGGATACTGGGGTCCTATGAGAGTTGGTAGACGTGAGTTGGGGTAGAGAGATTTATGGCTTGCCACGGATTGGAGTTGGTTAGATTTGGTTGGAAATATGATTATTGGTAAGAGTAGAATATGTAGCGATTGAAGCTATTGATGAGTAATTTTGATGAAAAGTTGATTATTAAATAGGAATTAACAGGGTATAATTGCGATAATTCATATTGATACTGTGCTTCCATAACGATACTTTAATAACCAAAAAAACAAATATAAATAGTCTTGAATCGGAATTAACAAGATATGAAAGCAGTTTATATAACATTCAATGATGCTGCCAAAAACGCGTGGTATAGTTACTGGGTCTCCTTTTAGCTATCTCGAGTCATTTTTGCGGGCAGGGGCCTGGCTTACCCGTTCTGCCTTTTCTAATGGATGCCATGAATCAAAATTACATAATAATCCTTTCCTGAAACTTTTAATACATAGAGCAACTAGGCTATTTTGCTCAGTAAATTATGATTGAGAAATTCAACATCTGCTGGAGGTCTTCTTCTTGAATCTGTCGAGTACTGTACTCATCCTCGTACCACAGGCATCTTACAAAGGTATTTTGTCAACGTTGTTTGTTTTCTAGAACTTACCCGTCAACATACGGAGAAGACAACTTACTGTTCTATATCCCAGAAAACCCGAATCGTGTGTGAAGGAACCATAGCGTGATGATGCCGCGGAAAAAGTTCGTCTCCCGATGGGTGACCCTGATCATCGAAGTAATAAGAAGGAGTCGGAGCTGACTCCAAAAGTTGCCGTGCATGGGTACTCCATTCCCCTATCATCGCTCATGCTGGTATCAGTAAACTACAAAGCCAATCACGCTATCTTCCCCCAGATTTCTGGGATTTACCCACCTTCGCTGATAGTTTCCTTCATCTTTTCAATGTAATCTGAATAGACCATTACACGCAATTCAATGCGATCAAGCAAATCCTCGAGTACCTTTAAATGTCGAGAAAGCCGCTCATTTCGTTGCGATTGGTCATTGTATTCCTGTAGGTTATAGTTGGTTGTTTGGAGTATTCTGTTCTGTTTCGTCAATTCTTTGGTAAGCGAATGTGCTTGATAAAGCCGGTTCTCCATAACTGTAATCCTAGCCCGACAATCACATCCTGTGGTATCTTTTGCTTTTCCTTTGAACTGAGCCGCTTGGGATCCAATAGCCGGGAGGGGGTTTTTGACATCTCGACGGTTTGTACCGATGTATTGGACGTCATCGTTGAAGTTTTCATAATCTTCATCTTTCGGATGTCGGTCCTTATAGCTGCTCATATCCGTCAAAGTAGTCTAGAAATGTATTATCTTTAGACCTTATGCAGATAGTGGTAAACTTGATGGACATCCTTACAAAATAATTAATGCAATCTACGTTCCAAAAACCCAAAATTGGGGATCGAGTCAAGCTGATAAAAGGAGGCGCAGAAATTGAAGGTGAAGTGGAGTGACAAAGCTACACATCCATCAGACTCAGCGTCTTGACGTAGGGAGGCTGGCTGATGGATAATCTGCACGTCCACATCTATCTTACCGTTACCGCTACAAATAAAAGCATGTTAAAAGCATTTCTATACTATCAAATTTGCTTCATATGTTGAATTAGTCGCCCTTAAATTTTCTCCCAATATCAATTGATTCGATTGCTTATAGTATAGGTTTGAAGAAGTGGTCCCAAGTCGTTCTTCGATGCAACCCACCATTACGTCTTGGCACGCACTGAACGCCCCATATTGTGGAGCCTCGGCGCTAACTTTCTCATTGAATGAAATAAAAATAATAATTACTTTTCATTACATCATCTAGAACAAAGAAATGTAATTAGTAACTGAAAAATCCCTAATTTTTCTTTGAGGTATCTGAATTGACTTGCAAAAAATGGGTTGAAAAAGGTAACTGGATTCGCGGTTGACTAGTCAGAGATTGAAAATGTATTTCATGACCCCTCCGATCAAAGAAAAAAAAAAGCGTGCAAAACAAACCTTTTGAATACCTTAAGGCATTTCATCATTTCCAGAATCCAAAATCTTAAAGTGGACATGAACGTTCTGGAATCAATCGACCCCCGAAATATTATTCTTTTTTTTCCAACACTGGTAACTTGGGATTACTTGCGACGGGTTTTATGCTGTGGACTCACATTCATCGGCACCTACCGCCATAACTGAAGCACAAACCGTTATTACTCATCAGCGGATGCATACATGGACGTACGTAGTATCCGCTCCACCTTCTAGTACTATGTTGCATTTTCCAAGATGATGAGACATAACGCATACCATCGCTCCACCTATTACCGTCCCAAACCACCAAAACGCCCATCAACAAAGCAAAAAGACACAAAAGACTGGGACTCCGATACCTGCCTATTCAGCGCTCAATGTCTCAGACCATGTATGGAATACCTCCAATTCACTCACACCCGCCAAACAACACCGATAACCCCTTCGTACCAACGGTTTGTTTTGGCATCAAATGTTTAATATCTTCCACTTTACTAATACCATTCATAGCAAAGCGCACCCTGTACACCTCCCCCGACATACAGCGTAACGAACGAGCACATCCTCCTTGAAGACGCAACTGGCCGCCGATCGGGATTAATAACGAATTCGGCAGATACACATGAACTAGAGGAATCAAAAGACGGAGCATGCTTTTGCAGATTTTCTAAAGATGCCCGCCAGAGAAAATTTGAAATGGTGGCTGTGTTTTGTATTGCTGTTATTGGGGGGTGGGTATTTGGAAAATACGTGCTGGGACCAGCGCTTGGAGGTCTGTAACTGCTCCAGCGAGTAGAGTTAACATTGGTAATGAGGTCTATGGCTGACGTAGTGTGGACAAGGTTGGGGAATTCTGTCGTGGTAATTGGTGGATTAAACTGGTTAATTGTAATGATATTCAGCGGCGGAAACCGTTTGTACAGTGTGCCTGCAAACCGCCGGAGAAGTAAAATGTGGTGTCTATTATTCTAGTTTGAGTACTGAGTATATTGTCCTTACCAAAGAGCCATCGATCCCTGTATATATTCTTCCATGCTCATGGCACCAAAGGGACGCAAAAACTTCGGAATAATGTCTGTCGTTAAGAACGTGTAGATGAGTGAACGCAACATGACACGACATTTGGAGATTGCATAAATACTACCCCAGAAAACATTTCACGTCAAGAAATTGACATCAACGAGCAAAAAAGTACAAAACTTCTTCACGTGGATTCAGTTTTGCTTCGCACCAAATGTTCGGTATGATGTATTAAGTACTTTTTGCTTCTGACGTTTAACAATGTGAGACATTGATAGGTTGAACTGCGCAAAAGATCAGGTTGTCCGGCGAATGGGATGTTGAAGAAAGTTGGGTATTTTCACATTGAAATGGACCAAGTATTGATACCATTGCGCTATACACCGACGAATGAGAAACCAGAAAATCTAAAGTGTTTCTTACGGTACTCGATACATGAAAAAAGGGGCAAAAAATACAATACACTCTACATCATAGGACACAAGAAACAATACAGCACCTATCGTATGCGCGAAACAGTCTGAATACCCAAGGATACCTTAATAGATGTGACCTTTGCCACTCGGGAATAAGATGATCTGAATCTTGCTCCGCCTATTCGCAGTTGTAACGCATGCCGATGCTCCACCAGCACCAGCAAACTGGTTCTGTGGGTGCGAAACTTCGTTGACGTTATTGACAGCGGGGTCAATTGTGCAGGGGGTATTGTTACAACCCTTCCCCTTGCACACAACTTTCACACCAAAGTCTGGGACCGCATTACGGTATGGTGTAGCATACTCGAGCCATACGGGGTTCCAACCCAAGGTGACAAAGACTTCGCCATCGTCACGCAACTTCAATGCCAAAATGTAAGGAGCCCACTATTTTGAAATTAATTTAATATACGCTTGTTGATGAGGATGAGAGGGGGGAGGGGGGGGGGGGGTGGAGGCTCACGTTTCCAGCAGGACTGTTGACATGTCCCCAGACACAGGCTTCATCCACAGGGGTTCCAGGAAAATTGACATAAAAGTGTGCACCGGAATCAATCCAATACTCCTGTCCCGGGACTGCAAGACCCAAAGATTGAGCTGGCTCTACTCTATTTGGAATCCTCATAGCCTCATCACCTGGGAGAACCGTTTGACAAATATGGACCTGTTTGGGGTTTAGGTTGAGGACAGGAACCTTTCGGGGAGCAGTATAACAGTATCCACGATTTGGGTACGGCTTTCTAGCAATACCATCGGCTCCACAATATAATCCACCGCGCTCGGATTCAGGATGACGATACGCAGTTGCGGTGGGGTCCCATTGGTGCATAAGTTTTCCTGGCACGCACGCATACTGACACCACAATCCTCTGGCACAACTATCAGTAGTCTGTCAAATGATAGGAAGTTTGGAGACTTACGGAAGACAGGGTCTATCCCAGGAATTTGCCCAGCCATGGTTTCCCAAGTGTGGGGTTACCGGCACAATGTCGGGGTGCCTCGGAAGTTCGCAC